CTCTACCACTTGAACTGAAGTGCTAACATTAGAAAATAGGTAGTGATAATTTAATGCCTTATATGAAATTAAGCCTAACTGAATGAGAAATTTCAAATTCCCAGATATCTATTAATGTTAAGGACTATTGAGACTCAGAAGTTTTAAACTTCAATATCATTGCAAATGGAAATAATCCTTTCATTTTATTGTCAGGCTTTCTTCTTTTCCTCTCTACTACATTGGCACAAGCAGTTAAAAAGTCCTGAAAGTACACATACCCCTGTTCTCCATTACTGTGCCAGCATATCCACAAAGTACAGCTGGAGGAAAAAGCCCTGGCAAGCTTCTGCATATCCTGCAACCCTAGGATGTTTAACTTAGCTGGCATGGGACTGAGGTGCAGCATGTTCAGTACAGACAATGCTTGAAGAAATGTGTCCAAACTATAAGTACATGCACATGACAGTTTTCAGAAGGTTCCACAGGCCAAGTCTGAATCAACTCTCAAGGGTACAGATGAAGGCACCCTGGACTTTAGGAAAACATCTCTGACAAATTCTGAAGTTGCTACTTTCAAGTATGGGCATGCTATACATTTTTTTCAGCACAGTCTAAGAATTTAAACATGGGGAAAATATATAGTTTCATCAAACCTCCTTCTGCAAGACTTTGGCTTAAAAGTTTTTTAAAAAGCTATCCTGAAGTAGACACAACACAAAACTCAGTTAAGTTTGGCAAACTTATAAAGAAGTCAAGAACATAATCATTAACAGCAAGGTGTTAGGCAGTTGCTGCCAGTTCTATTCTTAATTGAACAAGACCGACAGAATTTGTTTCAGGTTGTTTTTAATAATATACCATAACCCAAAACTCAGAGACATTATTCTAATATCATTACATTTGCCACACTGAGAATCTAGTGTGTTACTGACTATTTCCATTATCCAGAAAAGTAGCCTGCTGAGACTTGAGAACTAACTAAATTTTTTATATGGGAACAGTGCCTACATGGTCTTGATCACAATAGTTTCCCAAGTTACACATGTGAAGTCATTTATTGCTTTACTGCATGAATTGATATCTGACAACTGTTATCTTGGAAAAAAATATTTAGTATTTAAAGAGGTTTTGAGCCAGCTTTTTTCCAAGTCTTCAGGAAAAATCCAAACTTTATGTATTCAGGAAACGTAAGTTGTATGAAAAAAAGAAAGAGACGTACACAAAGACAAACAAACCAAAAGCAGTAAGCGTAAAGATCTGCAAGAGTCAGGTCTGACAGATCTCAAGTTTCTGAATTATACAGGGAGTACTGTTGAGCACCAGTTCAGATTCTGAACAATGCTGTATAGTGTTACACAAAGGAAGAAGTTGACCATCCTCTGTGGATTCAGCTTACCTAGACAGATATTTACTTTGGATCCACACTTGAAGTGGTGTCCTTTTTCCTCAAGTCACACACCTATCTAGAGCAGGAGTGGGCAATTATTTCAGGTGGAGGGATACTTATTGAGTTTTGGTGAGCTGTCAAGGGCTGTAAGCCCGGCTCTTGACAGATGGGCCATCCCCAGGTTGCTATCTTTGGAACGGAAGTCCCACCCATAACAACTAACCTTTGCCACCTAAAGTCCTTTCCCTTCCCCCAGAAGTACTCCTTTTGGGAGGGGAGGTTTTTCCATGTTGGAACTTGGGTGGGGAGCAATCAAAGCACACAGTAAAAAATTCAAACATCTACTATAACAGAAAAATGTTTTTTGAAATAAAATGTCTCGATTTACATGCATTTGGTGTAATGTATATAGGGGTGGAGCTGGAAACTACTGAAAATAAAATGCTGGCTCCCCAGTGGCATGAAGAGAATCAACCAAGATTATGGCTATTCCCTCTGCTGCTGATTGGTTGAGAGGGCTTGCCTTTCATTTGGCTCTGCCCCTCTCTGCCAAGCAGTGACAAAGGGCAGGGCTGCACAAAGGGCAGCCCTTTTAGCTAATCTGTGACAAGGGGCAGCACCATACAAAAGAGGCAGACCTGTCAGCCAGTCAATCAATGGCCGGAAAAAACAACTGCAAAAAGTGGCAGCAGGCTGTGCGACTGGCCCTTGAAATCACCTGTCTGCTGCCTCAATTTGAGTGTGTCCCTACTAATATATAAAGGGAGGCCCAATACAACACCTTCAGAAAAGGGGCTGGGCAACAAAAATTCTTACCTTTACTGGATACTAAGAACTACAAACTAAACACAATGGGTTAATGGCCCATTACACTTCCTCCGGTGTACTCCACAGGTAATAATACTTCCTTTTGAATGGTCTTATTCTTCTACCTAATTAAAGAATATGTATTTCAATTGTCCTTTACTGGTTTGGTAGCTACTTTTGGTAACTTCTTTGCTTTATGGTTTCCTGCCCTCTACCCCTTCTTTAGGGACTATTTTCATTTAAGTAATAGCTGGGGATGCCCACTAGCCACTGGGCCAGGCAGACGCCGGAGGAGACCATCGCTGGGATCGTGCAGGACGCCCACAAACTGGACTCGTCCCTGCTGGCCCCCTGGCAGAAGATCGACGCGGTGAACACCTTCCTCATCCCCTGTGTCGCGTTCATCCTGAGAGGCTCAGCAGTCCCCAAGACCCCCCTCAAGAAGGCGGACACTGAGATCCAGCGGCTGCTCAACAAGTGGCTGTGCCTGCCGCTGCGGGCCAGCAACAAGGTCCTGCACATCCCCTACCAGCACGGAGGCGCCAACGTGCCCCGCATGGGAGACCTCTGCAACATCACGGTGGTCACCCACGCCTTCCGCCTCCTCAGCTGCCTGGACGCCATGGTAAGTATCATTGCCGCCAGCGCCCTGGAGGAGACCGCCTGCAAGAGGATCGGGCAGCAGCCCACTGGACAAGACTTGGCCACTTTCCTCAGCGGCTCGCTGGAGGGCGAGTTCAGCCGAGACGGCACGGACTTTGCCTCGCTGTGGAGCCGAGCCCGCAATGCCACGTGCCACCTCGGGAACCGCATTGGCTGCGCCTGGACCTGGACTGAGGAGCACCGGGAGCTGGGAGTCTCCCTGTGCCCAGCCCTGCACGGTCGACCGCATCACCGTGATGCCCCACACGAGGACCTTCCTGGAGAGGTTCCTGAAGGACGCCATCCGCAACAAGTACGCCGGCAACCTGAGGGCCAAACCCGACCAGGGCGAGGTCTTTGACATCACCTCCAAGTGGGACGCTAGCAACCACTTCATGCCCAGCGGGAGCTTCACGCGCTTTGCAGACTGGCACTTCCTCCACCGCGCCCGCCTCAACTGCCTGCCTCTGAATGGGGCCATGCACTTCGGCCACCGGGACAAGAGGCGTCAACGGTGCGGCTACGCGGCAGAGACCCTCCCCCACATGCTGTGCAGCTGCAAGCCACACGCCAGAGCCTGGCAGCTCTGCCACAGCGCTGTCCAGGACCGCCTGGTGAGGGCCATCCCAGCCATGGCGGGGGAGATCTCCATGAACCACACCGTCCTGGGCTGCGAGAGCCAGCTGCGCCCTGACATCATCATCACCGACCAAGATGCCAAGAAGATCATGATCGTTGCCATCCCCTTTGAGAACTGGCGCCAAGCCTTCACCGACGCCCGGGCTCGCAAGTGAGATAAGTACACCCTGCTGGCTGACGCTCTGAGGGGCCACGGCTATGACGTGATGGTCGACGCACTCATCGTGGGGACGCTCGGAGCCTGGGACCCCAGCAACGAGAGCATCCTCCATGCCTGCCGTGTCTCCCGCCGCTACGCCAAGCTGATGCGCTGCCTCTTGGTGTCCGACACCATC